TGAACTGGAGACTTGGAAAAACAAAGCTGAATTTGTAACCAGCCTCAGCTTTACATCTGAATGTGGTGTAATCTGATATAGTAAAATAGTTTTAAATTCGTGAATAAATGTTTCACAGCCAGATTCAGTTGGAATGGTTATAAAAGATGGTATGAATGCTTCAGTATTGAAAAAAATATAATTTGCATTAAACAAGGTGTAAAAATAGTTTGATAGCTAAATATTTTTAAAAATGTTAAATATCAACAGACTTCTAGGGGTTTTGCTAGCATGCAGCTGAAATTGATAAATGAGCTATTATACAATATATTTCTGTTACTTAAAAATATAAAATGGTGTAGTCCCTTGGGTAATGAAAAAGCACACTTTCTTCTTTGTTAAATTTATTTTTTCTGTTGTTCATGATTTAGCTGTTAGGAAATACTTGATAGAAGGTGTAAAATAGTAAATTTTCTTCACTGGAATATTCAGGTATTTTCTAGACATCTTTTAACAGTTGGATTCTCTCTCATGAACAGATCCATGCAAGTCAGTAACTAGAATATTTGTAAAACCTCTGCTCTAATATATTTGTGTGTGTGTATATATGTATCTATGTGTATGTATTTATGTATATATGGATCTCTTATTTGTAAATGAAATATTACAAGTTTATGAAATCATGACCCAAGTGATTTTAAGAATAAGTTCTATTTCAGCTGCCACAAGGGAATCAAATGGCAAGTTGACATTTGTTTATATTTTACCAGTTGGAACAGCCACATCGCAGATCTCCTATTTGATCTTCCTTGTTAAGAAACAGCTGAAGCTTTATTTTTTTTAGTGCTTCTCACAGGATTGTTAATATAAGAGTTAATTCTCCTACATCATTGCCCCCCGTGTGATTATTTCACAGCACTGACACAATACACACGCTACACACAAAAGATCAAAATGATTCCAGCTTGTTTGAGAGATTCAAAAGGGTCTGTGATGCTCTAGACACAAGAGCTGTCATTTAACAGAACAGAATTGCAACTGCATATGCATCAAGGTAGATCAAAGGCAGCTGAGAGGCTGCACATTTACATAGGGACATGGGTGATGCTATGGGAACCCAATAGCTAAGTTTTGAGAGTATTTTGGCAAGGAGTGAAATAAGGAGGTTTAGTGGGAGAGTGTTTGGGGGTTTTCTTTATCATCATATGTTCTAAATAGTGGAAGAATTTTACATGCAGCAAGGACTTTCAGGGCTAGATCCCCAGCTGGCATCAGTCACCATTGATTTCACAGAATGAATTCACACCATTTGAGGAACTAGCCCTGAATATCCTTGCTGTAGTTTAGCTCATGTTAGAACCAAAATTGGTAAAGAAAAACTAAACAAGTATTATCAAAAATAAGGGTGCAGTTCTAGGACTGATGTACTTTGTTTTCCTTAATAAAAAAGGAGCATTGGCTTCTAAACGTTTAATTGTTATACCTCTTCTGACTGTTTAAATGTTGCTTCATTTTACAGGACTGAAAGTAAAAGGAGAGTGATACCTGCTATAAAATCTAAAGGTGAGAAATCCAAGTGATATGGAGATGGTATACCTGGAACTTTTTTCTTACACAGAAACAAGGCGATATGTCGACTGTGGCAAATTAAAAAAACAATAGAAGGATTTTTTTTATATATAACATAATACATAAACTGTGCATCTCATTGCCACAGGGTCACACTTGGGCTAAAACCTTGATGAGATCCAAAAAGGAACTGGGTGTTTATATGGATAACAGGAACACCCAGAGTTACTGGAGTTAATGCTGACAAATTTTTGGCAAGGGTGCTAAACCTTATGCTTCAGGGCCCAGGCCTGTTACCAATGGCTAGAGTGTGGGTGAAGACAGAATGTCGGAGCAGATCACCCCACACCTGCTAACTTGTCCCTTTCTCTGAAGCCTGTGGTACTGACTGCTGTCAGACAGGATACTGGAGTTATACTACAGGTCAAATCCAGTAGAGCAGTTCCAGTGTTCCACATCAGGGGTAACATCCCTTCCACCTAAGAGAGTTATCACAGTCAGTGTAAGACCTGAACTGTTGTGGGTATCAGTTTGGGCTCAATCCATTCCTTTTCAGCATATAGTATAACCTAGTGGCTGTTACCTTCCATGTGTGGATAACTCCTTGCTCCTGTTTAATGTCTGCACTGCCAGCTCCTGACTTCCATCATTCCTCATGTTCCACTCAAACTTCTTGCCTAATACGCTCTTTTAATAGCACTCCCCTACATCCCTACCTGTACCATCTTCCAGGGTCTCTCTCTTACCCAGAACAGTCTCTCCACTGCATGTGCTGCTTGACTTCTTGCTCTCTTAAGATTCTTCCATATAATACCATTTTTCTGGCATGCCTTTCAATCTCACTTCATTAATCATGGCCTTTGCAATTATTACAACACTAAATGAATGAAACAGGCAAAAAACCTAAGTAAACCTGCAACAGCCATATCAAATTAGTTTCTTCAGTTGATTTGTCTCTATAGGCAAACTTTCTCCTCTCAAGGATCTGACGCATTCCTTGATAACTTTCTTTACAGCCTGAACTGGTTGTCATTTAAAAAAAATCAAATTCATATGATTAAGACCCTTAAAACAGGAACCTTAGCAATTTGAAAAATATGTCTGAAGACATTGGGTCCTAAGGAAATGCAGAAATAAAATAGGTTTTGACCCCTGGACGTTTTATAGGACCCTGGGGTTGTGCAGAAACAGAAATAAAATTCAGCTGTAGAGGGAAAGGTCCTAGGGAATTTGTCCATAGTTATCCTGAACTATGCCAGGGCTGTTTTTGATAAAGTTTGAGCACTCTGCTGAGTACGACTAAGTGGGAAATGCTACTGCCATGGAACCAGGTTCAGCATTTGAAAGATTTCAGATCATCTCCTGCTTAGCTCATCTCAATTGGAACTGTGGGTAGGTCAGACATTTGAGTCTATAGAATTGCCAGACAGGTATTTCATTATTTGCATGTACAGGAAGCCCTCACTATTCACGGGTTCACCATTTGCAGTTTCAAGTATTCGCGAATGCTGAACTTGCATTTTAAATGCACTTTATACACTTACAGGAGTTCCTCTGGAGCTCCATACTTGCTGTTGCCGGGCTCCTGCCATCGCCGCCAGAGCCATGCCTTATTCGCGGATTTCACCATTTGCAGGGAGTACGAGACTGTATCCCCCGCATGTGTCAAGGGTCGCTTGTATTTTGTAGGTGCACAAGCAGAAATGTGCAGTAGTAGCTGTAGAAACATGTGCCTGGGTGCACTCCTGCACATGTAAGATTGGGCATTGAGTGCTAAATTTTCCTCCTATATCAGTTGTACACCAGCATAACTCCATTAGCATCAATGGAGTTACTAATACAAGTAAAAAGCATTGTTGGTGACCCTGAGTTTTGTCTTGAGTCCACACTTACTGTCTGTGTAGTCCCAAGCAGTAGAGCATGTATTTTGAAAGTAGGAGAATGTGATGTTTTAGGGATATTATTGATGATTCTTGTTTCAATGTGCTCTGAAATCCTTTGTCAGTGCTAGCTGGTGACTCCCATACAAGGGAGCAGAAAGGGCACAACTTTCAACTTGTGGAGTTTCTTTGTATGTATTTGATCTGGAGAGCAAGGGGCTTGTGATTTGTCTTCATTTGGCAGCTGCTGCATATGTTCAAACCCATGGATTCTGGAGTAGAAGATGGAGGATGCAGCTTGCTGAATTTGTGGATCTTAGAGTTAAATGGTTTTCATTTCTAAGTGTTGTCAAAAGCACAAAGAATACAAAGGGCTTTTGTTTTAGGAGAATTGGAGTTGGAAGTAAATTTATATGGAATGCTGCTTTTCTCAGCACTACTTCTCCAGTCCCGCTAGACCAGCAGATTTCAAATTGTAGGGTGCATCCCCCTGAGGGGCATAAAGAAATGTAGAGGGGGGGCACAGCACAGGGGGCTGCAGGCAAGAAGTTTGGAAGGAGGCAGCATCACTGCAGCCTCACGTGAGAATGCAAGGGCAGGGAGCCCCAGGCAGGCTCTGCCAGCGGGCTGCTGCACCTCCAGGAGCCCAGCACAGTGGGTGTGCAGCCTAGAGCTGCAGCAGGGCCAAGGCAGGAGGCATTGGAGCCGAGATAGGTGGAACACATCCTGCCGAGCGGAGCCCAGCCATGGTGGCTACTAGAATGAGGGGTGCCTTGTGCTCGGCTGTGCTGCTCCTCTGAGATGAAGTGGGTAGATGGGGGGTGCAAACAAAATTGTAACTCAAAGGGGGGCTCAGCTCAAAAAGTATGAACATTGCTGCCATAGGTATCCATGGTATGGTTGTTGTGCTGGCTTCTGACAACAGACACCCACCCCACAAGAAGCTGTGTCTAGAGTAGAGGTCTGCCCCAGGGAGCACACATATGGTAGGGTGGATGTGGTGAGATGGGGGTGAAGGTGATAGAGCCTGGATGTGAACCGATTAGGGCTCCTGTAGAGCTGGGACTCCCATGGGATTTGGGAGAAGAGCAGAGCGTACCATGGAACTTGGCATACTTCTCACTTCTGTGCTGCTCCTTACGCAGCAGGGCTCTGCTGGTGTAGGCTGTCCTCTAGGTTGGGATTAACATTCTCAGTATCAGGAGTGCCAGCATTTGCCCTGGTGTCATTTCCTAGCTCTTTTTTAGTATCCCTTTTACCTTCACGTGTATAGTTTTGAAAAATAAATCTATCAATGCTCTTTTTCAATTAAATACCCATATCCAGCCCAGCATTCATGAACAACCTTTTTTTCAGAATTTAAAATTAATCTCTACTTGATGTAAAATGCTTGCTACACTTGGTAATTACCAAATGCTTGTACTTAAATTGTATTACTTCTATATATATTAGCAAAGTCGATTCTTTGTGATGTCACTGTCATTTTTGTGCTAGCTCTGTGAGGTTAGAGTATGATTGTGACTTCACTTCAGAATCAGGTAGAGGAAGGGAGTATAACAGATAAATCTCTTAATTCAGCAGATGGTCAAGTAAATTGCTTTGAGTGAAGATGTTCTGTCAAACTACCTTGAGAAACAATAAAGTAGGGCTTCTAAGTCAATGCATGGTATTTCTGCACAACAATCCAATTAACAGAGAAGAAGACCTGTGGGCAGCATATTGTTTTGTAGGAATGAATTTCCAAGTTGTGCAGTTTCCAAACTGTTCTTGTCTGTCCTCATTCTAATCCACTGTATTTAGATACTTTAAAGGATGCAAAAATAGCATGTATATGTGGTTGGAGGTTTTGATTAATTATTCTGATTTTTATCCGTAGCTTTCTGGGGTGAGTCTGATGACAGCAACTCAGAAATTGAAGCTGCTTTGCGTCCGCAGGCCCAAAACACACATGCAGATGAATTTGATGACTTCTATGACTAAGACATTTAGCACTTGTGGAAAAAATGAAGGAAGTGAATTTTATTTGGTTTGATATTTGGCTTGATATTCCTGTAATGTGTAACATATCTTCTTGGTATTTAGATTTTAGTTTGGCAGTACAAATGCTGGCAATAAAGTATAAAGTCTTTATTTCCTTGGATATATGTTTTCTATTAAACTGATGTTTAAGAATTTATTTTAAGTTCTAAGTATTTCCTTTTCTCAAGTCCACTTTTACTTTTAAAAGAGTGTCACCAGATAAGCAAAACCATGTCTGAGCTTGAAGGTGTTCCCAAAAGACAAATCCAAGTAGAGACAGGTCCTTGACTGTCCGTTTGCTGTTAGGACCTGGCAATGAATATGAATCCCTAGAGCAGTATTACTCCAAATGTCTAGGGCTTTCTTTGAGGTAACGCATTTTTTGCAGGGAGCAGAGGGCAGTTCATATTATGCCATATCTCTTCTCACTCTGGATAAATCAGCAGCATCCTTTCTAGTGCATATCTTTGACCCTCTTCCCCTGCTCCCGAGGTCCTTGGTCCCTGTGCAAACACATACAAGAAGGTACATGATTTTCTAATATAAGATTCATGAAAAGCCTGCTCACACATCAGGATTTGCACCTGGGTTTTCTGAGTTGAAGGCTAATCACTTCACCACTATGCCAGCCTTCCTACCTCAGCACTTCCCTTAAATCCATAACCAGTCCCAACTCAGAAACTGTGGGAAAGTTCCAGGATACGGAAAGATGGGGATCTGTTGTTGGAGCTGGTACTTCTCCAGTTTTCTGGTCCAAAAGGGGGAATTTTGGCACCTGGTAGCATTTGATAGTATCTTATGAGTCCCAAAATGGGTTCTTGAAAACTGGCTGATATTGGGTATGTTCTAAGGAGGAGGATAGACTTCCGCATGGGAGGTGGTTCTGGCAGTCTATCAGTAGGGGTTGTAAGTGCCCCTGGGCAACTACCACTTTCCAAATTATATTTTGGGGCTTGGATTTATTGCAGCAGCTCTAGAATGTTTTGGTCCATGATGGAGTATTGTGCCATCTGGAAGGATTGCCCTGATTATGGACATTCTTTCTTCAGGAGTATATTCCTAGATCTTTAAATTGGGCAGAGCTGTTCACAAAATGATGAACTATGTGGGATTTAGATATTGAAAAGGCAGAAAAGAGGGAGGCTCTTTATATGCTTTTACTAGGGCAGGAATAAACAATTTTAGGAATTTTTTGTGTATCTTTTCTCTGATAGCATTTTTCAGCAGTGGTGTTCCAGTTTCCTTCCTTCCTTCAAGTCCTCAGAGAGCTACAGGATTGAGTGAGGGCAGTGTGGGGAGAAGCCATACGTAGGCAGCTACTTTAGTGGTAGGCAGTCTAGATGTGGTTCTGGATTCTCATCAGACCTTCTGTAGTAGTGTAAGAGTGATGCTGTAGCTGTGATGACTCAGAAACTGTGAGAAACAAGTATTTCATAGGTTGATATCTTTTATTGGACCACATATGTAGTTGGGATAAAGTTAGACAAGTTTTTGAATGCAAGCCATTCTTCCTCAGGTCTCTGATCAGAGAGATCCTTGCCTCTTGCAGATCTTCTACTTTACAGTTCTTGCACTAGGCAAAGTTTCTTCAAAGAGAACGTGTAATCTAGTGGGGTCTACACATCTTGAAGACCTAGTACCTGCTTGTGAATTCAGGTTCTGATTAAGGTGGCAAGAATACTTGTTTGTGAATTCAGGTTGAAGAGAATAAAGATCTGGCCATGCTTGGGGGGTTCTGATTGTTTCCTTTGTCTACTTTCAGCCCAAGGATATAGTCAGATTGTGACTGAGCTATATGTCTTGGTCTAGAATGGTCAAGATTTGCACCATAGAGCAGTTTAAGCTGGTGGATGATTTTACCAGCCATAGTGGAAATGAAGTTCCAAGCCTCTGTGGTTTTTAAGACCCTTTTTTCTTCAGGGTTGCTTCTAATCTGGCAGAAGACATATCAATTGGAAACAGAACTGTAATTCCCCAAAGGCTTTCCCTGCTTTAGCCAGCCAGGCATACCTTTTTCCTTTGGCCCACCTCTCCCTTCCTCTCTTAATCTATCCTGAACAGCCATGTGGCAACCAGGACCCATTAACGCTTTTAGAGGCTGCGGTGCCATCACCTCGTCACAGGATTTGGGCTTCCTGTATTGGAGGTATTTCCTCCATTGACCTTGAAAATTTCTAGGCAAATGGCAGGTGGTATCTTCTGTCAGCAATTCTGGAAGTCCTTGATAGGCTGGAGGCATGTAGATTAGTGGGGTTTCTAGATTGGTTTTGTCTGTTAATTCACACAGTACCCTGTAAAACAGAACAGATACCCATCTGCATTGTTAATGCCAAGCAATGCTTGTCCTCTCGGGGATAGAGATTAGCCTGCCTCCAGTGCCCCCAGGTTACGTTTCTTCTGGAGGCCAGGAAGAAGACAAAGCCTTCCTCACTTCAAAATGCTCTGTTATGGTGTGGCCTCTACCCATGCCTGCTACATTTGCATGTACAATAGCTTGGACTTGCATGTCCCCTCAAACTGTTGCATGTAAATTGCAGACTTTAAACATGCAAAAAAACATTTACCAGTATATGCGAATACTGATGGCTAGTGAAGTGATATAAAATCCTATTTATTTGCACCAGGGATTGGCTACAGGAAGCTAGAAGTGCACATATTAGAGGTCTTGATTTTTTACAATGCCTTCTCCCTGTCAGTGTTTAGTTACAAAACACCATAGGAGGCTGTGGAAGATGCTGTTCTAATTTAACACTTATGCAGGTACACACAACTCTGGGTGGAGGCTATGCTGTACTGGACTAGAACCTTAGATAGCAGAGATGCTAGCAGGTTGATTAAATAAATAGGAGTACATGGTAATACAAATTATACATTGCTTTATCATGGATTAGCTAATTGCTTCTTGTATTTTGAAGCCCTTGCTGCTCCCTGGGTTGCAACCCAAGACAAATTTTTACTGATAATCTGCTAACTTTTTTTTTCTTTACTGACAACCAAACATTTTTACTTATATGTGTTGTAAATATAAGCTTTCTCGTAGGCCCTGGACAAGGGTCAGGTTCAAATTTAGGGGTTTAACACCAACAATGGTTAAAAAGTTTGGTTGTCAGTAAAAGTTTGCAGTTTCTCAGTTAAAAAAAACTAAACTAAACAAAAAAACCTGGTTACCAACCATGCTTGACTGTGGCAATGGATTTATACCATACTGCCCCCATCCCAAGGGTCCCTGACTGACCCCTATACCCCGGTACCCCTAATCACATCCTGCACTTTGGTACCCACCTCCTCAGCCCAACCCCAGCTTAACTCCTACCTGTCCTGCCCATCCTCATCCATCCCTTCACAGACCCTCAAGGAAGGACTACTGTTTGCCTACCCATGACCCTTCAGTGTTACAGGTAGGGAACTGGAGATGGCAGTAGCATATGGTTGGAGGGGAAGGGGCTACAAAGTCCTGAAAGAATGCCCTGTGTTAGGGTGCTGTATTCCTGCTGATGCACCAGGTGGCACTGCTGTGCTCTGAGAATCCAGGCTTCCTTCAGTCTCATTCCTACAAGCTTCAATCAAGCTTCTTGGCTGAATGGCTGCTTAGTTTTTTACAGATGCTCCATTTTTTATTTCTTTTTTTTTTTTATAGGCAGACATTTTTAGGCTTGTTCTTTGACAGACTGTCTGTAAATTTACAGAGAGTTGGAAACTCTGCTTGCTGTCCCAGAATAAGCTAAGGAACCTCCAGATTCCTTCCTGATATCTTCTACAATATTGTTTTGTCTTTCTCCAGCACTGGGATTTCCAAAACTGCTCAGCATTGGCTTTTCTGTGTTCTGAAAGTAATCAATTTGGCTGCTACTGCAGGCCTTTCACAATCCCACCATCTGTATTTCTGTTGCTGTGAAATCACTGGTGATTGCCCACAGAACCAGAGTATTGCCACACACTAAAAAGACAGGGGACTTTTCAAAAATAAAAACCTTTGAATTATTTTTGTGCGTTTCCTGGTGTCAATAGCCTCAGGTGTTCTGTTTTTTTCTTTTATTCAGGTTGCAAGCAAGAAAGCTAGAAATTATCTTTGTTGGAAATGGAGGCAGAGATTTTTCTCACATTCATGCGACTCCAGAAGCTGGGACACTAAGATAATGTCTATACTTCTGTTATGGCATGTCCTGGCCAGGCTGTTTCCAAGCATGCTCTGCCCTCACCTACTCATGCATACTCCAAACCCTAACACATGTAGATGAAGTTGCTCCAAGGTTATTCCCCTGTGGCTGCTTTTGAGCCCTCAGTCTCCAATATGCTTGAGAATAGCTGCTGGACCCTGGAGTGCCCTCACTAGTGCATTTCCAGGTTGGGTGGGTGCAGGTCAGATAGACAAGCTTGGGAATAGTCTGGCTAGGCCATGCTGTTGTCACAACGCAAATGTGCCCAGAGAAAAATCACCAAACATTGGGAGATCTGGCACAACTAGAAATGATCACTTTAAAACTCATCATATGGCCATATAGCTAGTGGCCAAAGTAGACTAAAGGATGAAGGGACACTTCCATTTGTACTAACCAGGTTAAACAGATGTTTCCCTTTGCATTAACAGAGGCAGTAAGTGCTGTCCTCCACCTCCTCATCCCCTAAGTCAGCTGTGTCAAATTTGTTCTCCCCACAGGCCAGATTTAGACTGGAGGTCTCCTTGGGGGCCAGATCCCGAGACGGTGGTGGCAGGGTGAGGGTTGGCAGTGCAGGAGTTAACACAGATGTCATTCATCCACCCTAACCCCTAATGACATGCATGTTTATCCAGGCTCTGTTTCTGGGAATGTGGCAGCAGGCCCTGCTTGCCCCAGCCCTGAATTCTTGGGACTTTACCAGTTCTGCGAGCTGGGTGAGATGACTCAGTGGGCCATGTCATTAACACCCATGTCCTAACCCCAATCTCCAGCCTCGGCCTCCGAGGGAGACAAATCATTCAGAAAAGAAGGAAGACAACAACACCTAAAGGATCAGGCACCTGAAAAACAACACCTGACAGATACTTGGCTGGGATGCTTTAGTCAGGGATGATTCTGCCTTGAGCAAGGGATTGGAAAGACCTTATGAGCTCCCTTCCAACCCTACTTCCCTATGATCCTAAGGACTTCGGAGGGTGAAAAACTCCTTGACTCGTAG